GCCCTTCTCACAAATATATATATATATATATATATATATATTAAATTAAAGCAACCAGCAACTTCCCATTTTAACGATCGACAATTTCTAGTGACTACGCTGGCGATTGGCTCTTCTCTCCATTATGATCAAAAGGTGTCGTCTTAATACATCGTTAATGTGTCAAAGTCCCTCATAGTCCTTATTATCATTCTTTCGTTAGCATGCCACACTCATTTATTTCTTGGGTGGGCACACTCAACTCTTTTCCAATTCTAAGCCCTTCTATTTGATCATCCTTAAACAAAGGGGTTAAGGAGTCTTTGAGGTCTTGTGTTGGGTCAGACCGCCAATAGGTGTGTGGGTGAAGGAGTTTCACCTAGGCGAGGTGGGTTGTGAAGCTAGCCTCACACTGGATCTTGAATTTCAATTTCACTTTTTGTCTTTCGGGTGTGATTTGTTATTTGCAAGTCAGACCGATTCTATGCTTTATTAACTTATGTTTAAATTTAAAATTTAAATAAAATCCATCAAATCACCAAAAAATGAAAAATTTGGAAAATATACCCTGAAATTCAAAAGTATTAAAAAAAAATAAAAGTAAAGCAGAATACAAAAATAAGAAAGATGTATCGAGTTCACAGAATGACCTTCATTGATTTTTAGTGCTTGCAATAGAATTTGAGGTATAGGTTGTTGCTAACCCTCAGAATTTTTTTGCAACAACTATAATGTCGACCCCAAATTTGACTTTCTCATGTATCTTGCCCCCCAGCTGAGAGGCCTGCAACGTGGGACACATGATTAAGTTTGGGTCCAGGTTCGATGAGTTTTTAGTAGTACTTGACAAGGCCCCGTTCGTCTTCATGAAGGTTACTGCCCCAAATGTTCAAGTCGCATCCACTGAATTTGATTTGAACTGGCGCCAGGACTTCCCTTCTTGCAAGAAGGTGAGAGCCACTGTACATTAGCACTCGCTATGTCCGCCATTCTAGCACTCATAAGATCTGCCGCTCTTGTGTCAAGGAGAGTAATCACACCCAATACCACTGGATTTGTTATTACCGTGCTTGACGTCCCGTCTACCAAAGGAAAGGATATTCTGCTTGAAGAAGCGCAGTTAATGTATTTTTCGCCCTACCATCAATGTTTGAAATTGGTTTTAGTTCAAGAGTTGTTCCACTGACCAAGTCTCAGAAGAGGAACCACAAATGTAAGATTTTGAGGGTCGCCAGCGCCCAGGTTGTAAAGTTAGCTTCTGTTAAGGAGATTTTTCAGCCGTAGGAACTCAGAGTACTTGACACCTCTCATCCACCTTTCACCCGTTGTCAAACACTAGTGGAGACGAGAGCCTCCATAGGAATGTTGCCACTTTACCACCACCTCATGATCATGGTGAGGAGAGGGATATGCCTACTCCCATCACCCGAGTCCGTACCATGTTTGAGAAATTAGCTGACAAGGAAGGATGTTATGTTGTCGAGTTGCTTAAGCGGATGGGTTGTGCAGTATCACCAAAGATGAAGATGAGATTTTAAGGAAAGACAGATCTGCTCGTCAGTTACATAGGTTAGTAGAAGTATCACCAACCCGTAGTCTGCTAGATTCCATCTAGGGAATTGTGTTGATATTGTTGCCACTGTTACAGATGCTACCATCATTGCCCCGAGTCCTTAAGAGCGTAGACCAGTCAAGTCACGTCTTGGGCCGAGGGTACCGTCTGTCGTTGTGTATGAGGAATTCCAAAAAATAGATAATGGTAAGAGACCATTTACTGTTATACTTGGTCCGTACCATAGGGAGTGCACGTCGTTTTGACGTATTGATGTCACCACCGAGACACCCCATCTCAAGGGATCACATCAAGGAAGAGAGTAAGGATACCTAAGGTTGCTGCACCAGCACACCTTGAGAAGCTCGTGGGGCAATTCTACAAAATGGATCATGAGTCTGATGCTCCAGTTGTTGTTACTATCGTTGCTTTAGTGTTCATTGTAGAAAGGAATGATGGCCAAGAAAAGCCTATCAATCTTAAGCTGATTAAAGAGAAAGCAGTCATTGATAAAGTAAGGAAGCTCATAGCAAAGATTGTAGAATTGGCAAAAGAACAAGGACTAGATGTTGGTGACGAAGATTAGGAGATGAGGAATTCATGGAAATCAAAGTCGTTGAGACTAGAGTCACAGAATCTCCACGCAATGCTACACATTTTGTCAAGAATAACATCGTGGATGAGTTGCAAAGGGATATTCAACTAAGGGATGAGCAAATTAGCCGGATGAAAAAGAGAATGGAGATGGTCTCCATGGCTACAATGCATGGACAGTCATAGTCACAGTAGATGGCGTCTCTGAAAGTGAACCAGTCTGAGATCGTACACATTACAGATGAAAGGGAAAAAAGTTAGCTTCTGCCAATAGGGATGAACTGCAGAAGAACAATTCAATTCAAAGTTTGATACTAGAAAAGGACATCAAGCAGTTAGTCAAGCAACAAGTAAGGGAGGCCTTAACCCAATCTAAAGGAAGTGCATTAGTTTAAAATAGTAGACCTTACTCGGAGGAATTTGATGTCATGCCATATCCCAAGGGCTTTGTACTGCTGACCTTTAAGACTTTAGATGAAACGAGAAACCCTCGACAACATATTGCACACTTCCGAGCGAGTTGCTGCAACGATGAGGGTAATGCAGCATTACTTTTCTGCCAGTTCATGAGCAGTCTCTTAGGGATTGCATTTGATTGGTATGTGGAATTGCCCAATAGATTAGTTAAGACATTTGCAGAGTTGGAAAACATGTTCGTGAAAAGATTCACCATGGCTCAGCACCATGTCACCATAGGAGACCTCGTGGTAGAGCGACAAAAGCCTAGCGAGACCTTGGTGGAATACATTTTGAAATGGAGGAACTTGAGCATGAAGTGTGAGCCTCAGCTTTAGGATAGCATGCAATCAAGATTCTACTTAAAAACATCCATGCTCTGATAGCCTTCATGCTTAAGGGACTTATCATTAGGTCATTTGAGAAGTTATTCAACAAAGCCAAAAGTTTACAACAAGAAGTTTAGGATATGGAGTCCATGGAAAAGACAGAAAAGTCTAGACCAGCTAAGGCATTTAAGAAGAAGTCTGGGACAGTGGTAATGGTCAATAATGGCAAGCAGCTAATGAGGATTCAAGCAGAGCAGTATCGTCAGAATTCTCGGCACTCATCACAGCGTGGTCAGTTCCAACAGTAACATGGTCAGCAGTACAGTCAGCCTGACCACCAGTTGTTCTAACAGAGACCATATAGGATAGATGGAAGGCAGGTATTACCAATAGCAAACCAGTTAAGCAGAGTTTATTCCATAAAAGATGAAGCTATAGAGAAGATGTTCCAGAACTTCATGAAGAAGCCTGAGTTTAGATTGCTTGAGCCAAAGAAGTCAGAGGGGGTCGATAAGAAGGATCACCCCAACTATTGCCCTTGCTATAGGTTACTTGGACACACCATAGAGGGCTATTTTAGTTTTAAGGATTGGCTCGAGAAAAATTTTAAATAAGGAAATATAACAATTCCAAAAGAATATTTAAAAGAACCTGAAAGAGGTTCAATAAATATGATTTCGACCAAGCCAATTACCCTGATGATGGATCCGTATGCAGATAAGGGTGGATGGAGCATAGTTTAGAGTAGATCCTCTGGGAAGTTATTGGATCACATTCAGACTGCTTTGGTACAAGCCGCCGCTCAGAGTATGCAACTCACCAAGACGATGCTGGAGATTACGCCAGAGGAGCCACCACAACTGAAGAAGGAGATCATGGACTAACTAGGGAACGATAACGTGAAGGGTAGGATAGGGGTTGTCCCCGTTAGATTGGTTGTCTCAAATTGGGAAGAGAAATCCCTCAAACCGCTAACTCTCTAAGATTATCTCTACACCCCTTCAGGGTCTTCTGATTATAAGAGTTACGATTTTGGCTACATTTTAATTGTCTCTAAAGACAACGTAACTGACTGACCAAAGGAAAATATATTGAGATTTTTATACCTATTTTACACTAATTTTGATGTTATTGCACTTTATAGAAGGGTATTTTTGATTTTTTGTTGCAGGTATGATGAATTATGCTCATTGGAGCAAAAAGAAACAAAAATGGTGCAATTTGGAGCAAAAACGAGCAAGAAATGAAATTTTTCCTGTCACCTTTCGATAAGTCTTTCGATGCTTAATCTCTTTTACACTTCTTGCAAATTTTTGAATGAGATTACACTTTAAAGGAAGGTTGTTTTTATGCTTATTTGGTAAGGCTATCTGTTAGGAACGCAATGCAACTGAAATGGGGCAAAACGGAGCCAAACGGAGCGAAACGGTGGAGCTGCGCAGTCTGCTTGCCGACATGACCCAAAATGGCGCCGACGATGATATTTACCCTAGAAGAACCAAAATTGACAAAAAAGCTCACCGACGGCGTCGTCGAGCCCGCCGACAGCACTGTCGAGCATGCCAACGGCGCCCAGGATTACTATGGACCGAGTTTTGGTGGTTATGGGCCGAAATTCAATGTATCGACGACGCCCGGGACGGTTATGGGCCTAAATTCAACGTATTTGGATGCTTTTTGAAAGGATT